TCTCATTTCTCACCAGTGAATTCATAAGGAGAAGCTTTAATAACTTTATACCTCAAAACACAATAAAGAATTTTATCTGAAACAATCAATTGAAAAGAACCATGTAGATCAAAATGTCTTTTGATTGAATGTTAATGCTTCTTTATATTGATTTATTAGTGAGGAATAATAGGATACAATAACAAAAAAATTCTATTTTAAAGAAGATATTAAAATTTATAAGAATGAAAAACCAGTATGATTTATTTCATGCAAATACACAGGGGTAGACAAAAACATTGCACCAGTCTATATATTTCTTCTATGTGATAGAAAATAAATTCGCACCTTATAAATCATCTCCAGCAAAAAATTTCCTCCAGTTTCTGTATTTTCTTATATTATGTATCATCATGCACCCCACCTCCTTTCTTATGGGACTGATATAAACTACCACAAAATGATAGAATGTCTCAAAATCAGTACAAAATGTTTTTGTCCAATTAAAATAATATTCAAAGGAGAATTGACTGAACAAAAAATGTGGGGGGAAACTGAGGTTTCTCTGCACAACCTCACTCATTGCCTCAAGTATACATATCAGAAACAAGATATAGCTTTGTGTGTTGTGTGATGTTTTTCCCTACATAGTGTAGACTCCTATAAATGATACTAATTAATGTTACTGCTTGATTATATATATGTATATATAATAAAAATGGGGTCAACTTTATTTTCTTCAAAAAGAACACCCCATTTTTTTTATTGCATATTCTGATTCTACATCAAAAATAAACAAAATTTTATCTAAAGCATTTTTTCAAAAGATGTACTTATCAGAAGTTATGAGTATTTGAAGTTTTACACACAGCCACCACACAGCAAGTGCACAAATCTGTGAAATTTGCTGAAAAAAGTCATTAGAAAATGATTATTATTTGGTAAAATCAAGATCAATGTTTTCTCTATCACAAGCTTGGTGGCATTAAAATGCTGTGGCACAGGTTTTTGTATAGTTTAACAGATGTAGTTAAACTTTAAAAATAAACCTATTATGTCCAGGAAGTATTTTAAAAATACAAACAAATGTTTTTGGGGTAAATTGATCAGCCATCTTTGAGTATATGTGTAAATCATACTGATACTGAAAGCATATCAAATGTACAGAGACTGTTGTACAATTAATTGATAAAGATTATTTACAGTAACATTAAAAATATAAATGCAAAAATAATAACAAAGATAATTTCTCAAATATATTCAAGTGTATGTGATGATAATACAATTCTAACAATTTTAGATATACAACTAATATTCTATGAATTTTTTAATTTTATTTAATTTTTTTCCCTTCTTTCTGCTCTATGGACACTATGAGGGCCTTTTTAATCATACCCATCATGGGTTTGGACAGGTCGTCAATGGGAGTGACTGGACAATAAGGGATGGAGCCAGAATTATCCATAATCCTGTAAAAAATTATGGGGATTCTTTGACTGCACAGATTTGATCCTGGATTCCACAGCAGTAGACTGACATCTTAATCAATTTATCCATCTAGCTGTCTTGATTAGAATTTAGAACCTAAAGATGGCTAATCAAGTTAGCCAAAAACATTTGTTCATTTTTTTAAAACAGTAGACATAAAAGTTTTATTTTCATAGTTTATTGATACAGTTTAATTTAAATATAGTTTAAGTATTACTATTTAATTTTTTTTTGAAATAAACATGATTGACTTGTTGTCACAGAAAGTACAATACAATATAAATTTCAATACAAAAATTTTTGTTTTAAATTATTCATGATAAGTTACAACTTTCATTCAAGTTAAAACATATTTAATCATAAAGATACACATCATTTATAGTTCTTTAATTTTTTATCACAGAACTAGCCAAAATAAATGTCAAATTATTATTTACTGTTACTTTAAAGTTAAAAATAAGTGATAGTAGATAAAAAAAAGCAACTAATCTATCATCCCTCCCTGTCATTAATCAAAATATTTTTTAAAATAACTTGGAACAAAGTCCGTAGAATGCAGTATAAACAAACTGAAAATAATTTATTTATACAAGTCGACCCCCTATACGATTGTTGATTTTTCCGTTTTATCTGAATTACATGTTGTACGNAAGTGCATGGATGTGTCAAAACTGTTTCAAAGAGTGTTTTCTTTGTTTTCAGAAACCTTTTCAATTCAATAAAAAAAAAGATCATGTAACATTATGAATAACTGATAATAGTTATTGATATACTTGGGACATAACATTATTTTGATTAATTAATTAACAGAATATACAATTTATAAAATTGTTGTCTATCTTTACACTTGGAGTGATCAATATTTCAATGAAAAGATATATTTTTGGTTACTAATAAGAGAAAATAAAAGAAAATCTTTATTTTCTTGCTATGTTTAGTTGGATATAGAGTTTAAAAATACTGAATTACCTTCTTAGTCATAGTGTAATCTTTTTAATTAATAGTGTTTTGAAAGTTGGACAAAGATGCTTTTTTAACAGAGTTAAAAAAAATGTTTATATTTATATTTTTAACTTCTATGCAATGTAAATGTTGAAGATAATAATACCTTCAAGACCACTTAATTCTGAATGTCAATAACAAACCAATATTTAAATTAAGAACTGTTTTTCCCCAAAAATAAGACCAGGTCGTATATTAATTTTTGTCCCAAAAGATGCATTAGGTCTTATTTTCAGGGGATGTTTTGTCCAAAGGTGCCAGCTTGGGTATTTACAAATACTTTATTTATATTTAATTATATATTATAATTATTATTTTATAATTCAATATGTCCATTGTGGGTTGCAACAGATATATTAAATATGACCATCTGGCTGACGATCTTAACTGGGGCTTATTTTGGGGTAGGGCTTAAATTACGAGCATCCTGAAAACTCATGCTAAGACTTATTTTCGGGGAAATGCAGTAATTATTATAATAGTTAATCCTGAGATATAACTTTTTAACTGTTATAATAACTGTTATAATTTTTTTGTAAATAGTCACAATTCAATTTTTAATTGAAGATATCCTGGGTTGTTTATGTTATCATGTATGCTGTTAGTGTAACATATCTGTAAGTGATGTAACATATTCTGTTTTACACCATTGAAACCAATGTTTTATTCAAAATTGCAGCAACTTTTGATAGTTTACAACGCTCCTCTTCAGGCTGATTTGATTAGACTCAAATCAAACAAGATTTTTTATATTTAAATAAAATAAGAACATAACAGGCAACATAAAAAAGTTGCCTAGTATGTTCTTGTTTTATTTAGATCCAATAAATAGTATGTCAGTTAAAGTTGTATTGTTATACCTTAATTATTCCATTATTAATTTTTTAAGTAAATTTCATAACATGAAAATTATTTACTTCTTTCACTGATTAAATTTAATATTAATACCTCATTTGAATTCATTCTTTTTAACCAAATATTACATTACTATTAAAAAATTCTTTAAAATGTGCAAATTATAATGTTATAATGTTACATAACAAAATAGGTTTTCCAAATGCTGGTGTTAAAAATGGATAAATTAATTAGTTTATCTGTTTTTACTTATGTAGATACATTTGTGTAATTAAAATTTATTATAATAAAAAGTTTAATTTTTCTTGAGAAGTAATAATTCTTAAGATCAATGACTTAGATTTGAAAAAATGAAATAACCTGTTAAATTAATTACATATAAGAAAGCATTTTAAAATTAACAGGGTGTTAATTTTTACATATATAAAAATGTGGACTGGATATTTTGTCTGTTAAATTGAGGTTTAACTGTGATAGATAAATTTTAATAGCCATGAAATTATTATAACACATAATAACATTAATAAAATAAAAGAATCACGTTCTCTATCTAAGCCTACTATTTGCAATTAATATATATTTCTCAACTAAATTTTTCTTAATATTTTTTGCATTATTTTACTGATGTATTAATGTGTCATTTAAGTACTATTGTGCATACTTATTCTGGTCTTTTATTTCTAAATCTTGGAAGGAACTACACAAATTAAATGGCTTTTATAAAAAAAGTATGTTATTGATAACAAAAACAAATTATCATCAGAATAAGTGCAACATACATCTGGTCTGTATAATGATTAATTCTAATACTGACTGACCCCAGTATTGTAAGAATAATTCATAAAAAAGAAAAATTCATCTATTTATTTCATGAATGTCAAATGTGTAATTGGATACATTTCAGTATGCATAGAACAGATGCATACTGGAACTGTATCGGTAAACTGTGATGAACTAAAATGTGTTCCAATATTCTTCGATAAGTTTGTCAGTGCAGTGACTGATACACATCACATTTGTCAAGCTGCAGATATGGTGAGTTCTGATGAAGCTATATGGCTGCCTGCATGATTGTTATTAGCTCCATTTTTACTATCATCTTTATAACCCAAAGTTATTTTGAGAAAATAAAAGTCTTCAATGCCAATATAGTACTTTTTGCTTCTGCCATCTTATTAGACTGCCAAACATTCCAGTAAAAACTTATTAAACCATTCACTGGTGCATCAGTTGTGGCTGAGACTGATGCATACTGGAATGTTACTATCAGTTCTATCAAAATATTTTCTCTAAAAATTTCTAGCAAACTACAATTTTAAAAAAAATACAACTAACTTGAAACTAACTAATATATAAAAAATTTTAAAATGCTTCATAAAGGAACAATTATAGTAAATTCAAATTTATTAAAGTTATAAAAGTCAAGATTAATTAAAATTAAAAATTTGGTAAACAGTATTTACATTAAAATATGAAATGTATAAATATATTGAAGTGACAAAATGTCTATTTTCCATTGTTCACAACACCAAACAACAGTCCAAAACAATTTTCACTTATGGCATTGTGAACAATGGGAAATGAAAATATTTTGTAGTTTTAACATATTTATATATATCATATTTTTACAGTTCAGATTAATGTTTATTAAATAAATTTCATTAAAAATTACATACATCATTACTGCAGTCATGACTACTCGTCCAGATCCTCTTAATATAGCCTCTCTTTTCTGAAATAAAATAAATTGTTATTCATATCATAAAATACATATATACTTCATGAATTTAATGCAAAATATCTGAAATCTAAATTTCAATATATATTTTACAATTGTATTTGTTTAAAAAAATTAAATTAGCTAATCTATTAAATAACAATGCTTAATTATATTATGTTATGTCACAGATTATAATTACTGTAACCAGTGGTGATATTCAGCGGGTTCACACAGGTTCGGCCGAACCCGTTGTTAACATTTTCAAAGTTTTCTGAATCCGTTATTAAACACACGTAACATTTCTCAGTGGCTTTGTTTCTTTTAAAAAATGTATTAAAATATATGTATTATACTCTGTAACACTACTAAACTAAAGCCTTATACCCCATTCGCCTTGGTGCGACCTCCCTTGACCGTTTCAATCGTGGTCGACTCAAGAGAGTTCTTGAAACTAGATCCAGCATAAGAGAGATCCCACAATCCCACGCATGTGAGAAAATACAAGATGGCTGCAGAACACGTGAACCATTTTGAACACACTTTTTTATTATTTATAAATATATATATAGTCTGGCATAAAAAATGTTAAATTTAATTTTGATTTAATTTTGCAAACACATCTTTTTTATTTATATGGATATCTTAAGGTCTGTTTTTGCACTAATGTTGCTAATGCACCATTTGAGCGAAAAAAAATTGTTAAGGAAAAATTTTCTGTTAGCGAATCCTTTGTTAAATATTTTGAATATCACCACTGACTGTAACGTAAGTCCAGTTGCTATAATGGTTAATTCTTTTACTAATTAATCCTACTTTGTTGCACATAAGTTTTTATTAAAGTTAATAGTGCCAAGTTAGAATATTTCCTGATTCAGAAAATAGAATTTTTGAGTTATTGTGATTTGATTCTAGAATATTGAGATTTAAATTCTTTTAAATTATATTTTAATTTGTTTCATTCTGTATATTTTTACTATTCTAATTAATTCAATAAAATGTTTTGTTCCTGCCAAACTTATCTATATTACATGTTCTACAACAATTTTTAAACTTGAAATATCAAAGAATTGCCACAGTATTGAATGAGGATTTAGAAATATGAAATATAATAATTAAAGTTAATAAATAATCATATTGCTAACTAAATAACTGATAAATTAAATTTGATTGATTTAATTTTAATATATTTTTTTTCATGAATTTTTTTCTGATGTTACTTTATATAAATTAAACTATCTGGGTAAAGAACTTCAAAATTCAGATTTTTGTTTATTTTACTAAAGAGTGAACTATAATAATTATACAAATATGAGTCAAATGTCAAATGCTGAAATAACTTATATATTTCAGCATTTGACGTGTGTTAAAAAGCTGAAATATATAAGTTCTGTTCCTATATATATATATGTCAGTCATTGGCAAGAAAAATTATGAATTATATGTTAAATTACATTTACAGGAATTTATTTATTTCAGTATTCACACACGTTTAGCTAATGCTACTTTCTAAAAATCCTGCAAAGTTCTATATGAACAAATAGCAATTTCTGCTATTACACTAGTTCATAGTTTCCATTTAATTTAAATTTCTTTGCCTTACTCTAACTAAATTGATTTCCCCCTCTCTTATCTTCAATAATTAAATAGTTCATGATGAATTTTGATTACTGAATATTTGATGAAAGTCATCAAAATGATCATTGATTAGTCTACAGTAATTGGATAAGTAAATTCAGAATATTTCTCCAGGAATTATTGAATTTGGAAAAGTCCTTTTCTGCATTCAATAATAGGAAAAAGTATTTAAGGTTATTTAGCAGAGGCTAAGCTAATACAGACAACTAACTATTAATTTAACTTTTTGTTTGTTTTTAATCTATTACTAGGACATCGCACGACTTTGTAATATCACAATAAAATTGAAGTGGAGCTGGAAGGAAAAAAGCAATCCCTACATCTGTTAGGAACAGAACAGGCAATTCTTGTACGGTACCCAACAGACAGACAGTGAACTTTGCACTTGCCTCCACAAAATAGGCTATCCTCATAATACATGCAGACCATGGGAGACATGATCCTTGCACTGGCAAGGTATAGAGAGACAATCCAAGAATAATGTCAATGGCAATTGCTTTGTTCTTGTGTTTTGTTCGTTTTTCGTGCCTGTTTTCTGTTAGGTACAGGTAATACTGTTTTTATTTTTGACCCCTAGGCCTAACTTCCATTAGGTGTGCTCATTGCATCAGAGTGTGTGGACATTGTCACTGTAATACCTTTGTATATCGAAAACAAAGCTATGGACCCCTATTTTTACTTTCCTGTCTCTGTTATATATAACAGAGGGAAAGTATGGTAATAGACCAAAAAATGACCTCCCAAAGATTTTTACATCTTTGGACTTAGGTGAACTTGAAATGTCTACAAATGCAAAAGCATTTCAGAGTAATTTCTCTATGTATGGTTGTTTTTGTGGAGGGCATGATTTTGTTTAACCTGATTGAAGCTTAATAACTCCCCTGTGCTTTTTGTCAAAAATTTCTGAAATTTTGCAGGAAGGTTTGTATATTAGAAAGATTCATGCTATTAAATTTTGGTGATTTAAGGTCGAGGGGATGAGTAATTAAGGGAGTCATGTATCTTATCTTGAGTATGTCAGACTTAATGACGAGTTTATGTTATTAGCATTTACAATTTTTTTTCTAAACCCACCCCTACTCTCAATATTAAACTTTTTGCCATTTTACAATAATAAAAAATGTAAACAGTGTTTTAAACGAAATATCGTAACAGATAGTACCACCAGAATTTTAAATGTTGCAGGGAAAGTTAAGCGATTCATCGCTGAATTTTTTACATTTAAATGGACCCACATTACATTTCTGGATTCCTCATCTCAATTAATGGAAAATGGCAAAGTTTTATCAAAATTGATCCATTAGATTTTGATAAAATATTCTATAAACTATGCAAAACCATGAAACATCACACGACAAAATTGCACGATTCATGTGCTATCATTTTGTTTCATGTGCTCGTGAAACAACCTTATATCTCAAAACAAAGCTATAGCCCCCATTTTTTATTGCATGTTTGGATTCTGCATCACAATTAATGGAAAATGGCAAAGTTTAATCAAAATCTATTAAACGGATTTTGAGAACGAACACAATTCTATAAGCTTCATAGAAGAAGCTTTGCTAACACTCTGCTTCAACTAAGTAATAAAAACCGTGTTAAAATAAGTTTCATTATTTATCAATATAAAATACAATCATATTTGAAGAAAATATTCAATAGATCAAAGATATCTTACTTTTGCTTCTTCTTTAACCTCAGTTGAACGACTATAATCCTTCAATATTTTTTTAACATTTAAAATATCTTGAAATAGTAACACAACTATTCAAGAGTATAATAGAGAAGGAATTAAATTTATCTTCTTGATAGAAGAGCATTCCGTTTTTTACGTCACCATTTCAATTCCAAATAATTTGGTATTCGATTCGTTGAAAAACTCAATATACAAAAATCTGTCAAATAGTTTCTGCTAAGGGTTACAAAATTCGAATTCGGTTCATACCTTTGTGATTTTTCATGAATAGTTCGTATTATTCATTGAGTTTCCTGGATTTTCTTCATGTGTCTAACATCAAAATAGGGATCAGTTTCCCATAAAGTCTTTCCGGAATATCTCTTTAAAAAATTTAAATTGTATTACAACAAAATCTAGAATACTAATAGCATTTCAAACTTGTTAAAACTAAAATTATGTAATACCTTTATAAACTCAAATGCAATTTATGACTCTGAGAACTGAATATATAAGAAAAAAAGAAGCCAGGATGTTGGAAGCCTTTGAAATGAAATGTTTACGGAAAATAAACAATACCAAATGGACTGATAAAAAGCAGAAGTATGACTTGAGCTACAATATATTGACTATTACAAATAAAATCCACAAAAGATAACTGATTTAGTATGAATATGTGGAAAGGATGGCATCCCAGAGACTTCCAATAGCTGTACTGTGTGCCAAGATCTGCAATAAGAAAAAACGAGAAACACCAAGGATCATATTGATATAAACGATAAAAAAAAAACTCCAGACTCCAAAGCTATAGACAAATCAACTTGCAATCAAGAGAGTGGGATACATAAAAAAAAATCATAAGATAAATGAGTTACAATGTTTTTTTTAACATATTAATAAATAGTAAGATGGAAAATAAAGAAAAATAATATTCTTCGAAGTAGTAAACTTTACAAAAACATCACAATTATAACTTTTTCATCTTATTTCTTTTATGTTTATAAATTTTATAACTTATAAACTGGAAAAAAGAAAGAGTTTAAAGTGCAATGTAACTAATTTCAATAATAGCTTTTTTTTTATTATTTATCAGCTATAAATTTAATTATAAAAAAAATATGTGTGAATATTAATCAAATGTTATGTAATTTAAATTTATTTTAAAGAAATATTAGAAAATTAGCCTACAGGATGACTCAAAAGTCAGCTAACCAAAATTTACTTCTTTGAGGATTATTTTAAGAACGTTTAAAACTTGCTTGAAACATCTACACGTTACCATTCGTGTTTTATTCATTTCAGTGAGACATTGAATCGCAAAAAGGTATCTCGGTTAACTGACTTTTAGGCCACCCTGTGTATATATGCATACACACATTCATATACAAATCTGCAAGCAAATTCCTTTGGATTAAAAAAGTAGGATCTTAAAGAATTATGGATTTAACCCGCCTTGGATGAATAGCCACCTCTAAAGCGACGTATTTTATTCCCGTCAATGGTTTGTGTATATAATATTGTTTTTACTTGAGAAACAGAATGATATTTAATGTAGTTGTCAACAATTTTTTCGACTTATTATGTCATTACATGTTACATGACTCTAATTTTTGTTCCTTATTCTGTTAATAAATATTTTTATAACTATTTATAACAGAGAAACTTAGAAGCAGCTCCCAATATATTACAGTAACTTATTAGGCATATATAAGTTATTATGAACGTATTAGATAATAATTGTATATATTTATATCGTATATGGATATATAATTTGAGAAATGTAGGAATATGCTATAGATAATTTCTTTATATATAGATACATGAAGGCAAAAAAGTCAGTTAACCAAAATGCTTAAAAATTAGCTGATTCTGTTAACTAACTTACTGAGTTATTATAAATTTGTAAATAATACTTTTTCTTAATTTTGAAATTTAAAAAAAATTTCAAACGCCTATATTATAATATGTGGGTGTTCCTCAAATTTTTCGGCTGTTTTATCTAATTAAATAGAATAACAAAGATTATTCTTGATATACTTTAACTTGTAACTACTTCTATATTTGACGAATTTGTTAAATTAACTGAATGTTTTCGGAAATAAAACGAATTAAATACTGTATAATAATTTGCTATATATAGCCTATATACTCTACATAATAATTAATTTAAAGTGATAAATAAAATCAGTATGTACAGAGTGATTTAATAGTTAACTGAACTTTTTATTTCTCTGTTAACTAATATTTGGTTAATTCTCTATGTTATGTGTGTAAATTAAATGTAAGATAAAGCAATAAAGAAATATACTATGTACAGAGTGATTTAATAGTTAACTGAACTTTTTATTTCTCAGTTAACTAATATTCGGTTAATTCTCTATGTTATGTGTGTAAATTAAATGTAAGATAAAGCAATAAAGAAAATACTAATAATTTATATATCATAATTAATTATCAAGTTACCGAGCATGTTGTTTTTATAAGGGGTGATCGCTTAAGAAGAGTTTCACTGTAGTTTGCTATAACTTTATTATATAGGTTTCTGACTACGATGTGATGTGGCATTGTTCTAGCCAAAAGACATCACATAGCCTAAGGTAAGTGAATTCAGGAAATGATGTATCCAACTATCAACTTCGGATCTATATAATATATCGATACGTCTTTAACAATTATAATTCAGTCTTTGTAACATGCAACTTAACATGCCATCGAATTTACATTTATATTTCCCAATTTTAATATTTGTTTTATATATATTTTTAAAAAATAACTCGAAATATTAATTTTAAAGACTGTTAAAGTAGAAAAATAAAATAGAATATAATTTCACGTTGTAAATTTTTTAGAAAAAGTATGTGAAAGTTTATAACTACGTTAGAAACTTCCATATATTTTTCAAATATTTTCCGAAAAATTTTCAAATTAATTAAAATTAAAATTCTTGTTCTCTTAAATTCTAAGTTTTATAAAAATGAGATGCTATTAAGGTCTTATATACAAGTACTGTACAGTCAAACTTCTATTTATTCGTCTTTAAAATTAGCACTAAATCGAGTGAAGCATCTCAAACAACGACGATTAGATGTAATAGTGAGTTCTATACACAAGATTGAGTTTGACAGTTTGCAAATTACATTATTCGTCATTATTAAACAATATTGTTTGGAATACAAAATCGTGCATTTAGTAATTCGTAGATATTGAAAGGTTTAAAGAAAAGATTCGTTCATTATCACTTTACGAACGTGGAGTGCACTATATCGAGGTTTGATTGTAATTAATTGAATCATTTCATTTGTATTAAAATTTTACAATGGTTCGAATTCTATGTTTATTACCTCATAATNTTAGTAGATGTTATCGAAGCGAGAATTGGCATTTAGAGGGCATATAGAATCTATTAAATCTAATATAAGAGAGTTAATTATATTGAACTTGCTTATTTATTAAGTGCGTTAGATAATCTATTAATTAAAAATACATTTAGAGAAGTCTACGGTTTTTACTGGTTTATCGAACAAACGAATACGAATGGGCCCTAGACCGTTGCTGACTGATTGCCCCTGGAAGTCGGCTTCTTATAGAAACACAGCTTCCCTATCATCAAATGTCACGGCACGCCACTGGATACAATACTGTAATGTAATAGCAGAAAAAAGGGTAACTAAAAAAAAATAAAATAAATGAATAATATTAAATAAAACAAGTTTTAACTTTAAAATAATCGAAATTACAATAAAAACTAATATATTCTTCAAAGAAATATGAATAAACTCCGCAAATATGATCGGTAAACTTATTCGCCTCTTCGCATTGACTCATCGAAAATCAATGAATAAGTAAATGGTTTGATATCATTCTTTCAGCTTATCCATTATATTCTCAAACAGGAACCAATATGATTTGTGAAGCATACTTATCGAAGAATTTCTATTTATTTTTTATTATTAAAAGACATGCTCTTTACTCATGTTCCACTGGAACATCTTTTAACTAGTCGATTATATTTCTGTATATACTTGTACATAAAGTAAATTCAACTGTCTCTGAGGTAAGAGCAATATTCAGTATAGAAATTTCTGAAAGAAGAAAGCGAAATCTTTTAAAAAATAAAATTTCTTTTCGTATTTTTTTTAAAAATCTCTTTGGTAAAAATATTTTAAATGATTAGTAGAAAGGTTTATATATAAATTTCCTTTAGAAATATAGTAAATCTAAAGGAAAAAATATATAAAATTCGTTTATAACATAATATAAATGATCCCCAAAAAAAAAAACATACTTGTATGCCTTAAAGGTACAGAAACTGCCGTCAATTATGCGTAGATTAATCTTTTTCAAATTATCACCGTTTTATCGAGGATATATACGAAACACATTTTAGTAAAATTAAGTATACCTTCATTCAATGTTTACATATTATATTTATAATTATTTCTCTATGGAAACTTGTGATATCAAGTAATATTTCCGACGTTGAAAAACGTAATCATGGCATAAAGAACTATTTCATTGAATACAGTTTTGGTATCTGTGCCCAAATATTTTTAAAGATAAATATTTAGGTTTTAAACACACATTTGGCGGTGCTTTCTTTACAGATTTATTTTATTACTAATGATTTAAGAATTTATTTAATTATGTACTGTTTGAAGAAATTATTATTACAATATATACACTTTAAATCAACAGTGAAAGGAATTGTGATGTGTAAAGAACAAAATTTCTTTCACTGAACGCACTGCCAAGTGTGTGTTTAAACCCAAATACTGTACTTTTCTTTAAAAATCTTCAGACAGCTTGTAACTTACCCTTCCAATCTTAATTAAGAAGTATAGAAAACTATCTCTGAAGATTATAAGGGTAAGTTGCAAGCTGGATTTCTTGAATGAATGCAAGAAGAATGTAATTTTTCCGATGTCAATCCATCGAAACAATGAACCCGATGAATGTAGAGCATTGAGATGGAAGATAAAACGATTTTGCTTATGTAACATATACCAAGAACATTAAGTATAAAGCATTAAATGAGCTCATAAAGCCAGAAAATGAAATGCATTTTGAGGACCCAACTTACAACTTGGTA